CTGAACTTTCATACACGCGAAAAAGACGTAGGAGGAGACTCGCGAGAGAACAAGAACGATCGTTTTTTCTCGTAACTACAGTAATTACATCCGATTCCCGCCTCATTGTCCTCCGTCTGACGGACGCGACTTTCACTTAATAACCGCTGGACACTCGCGAAGACATCGATTAAGTTATCGGTGTTCTATTTGACAAAACCATTGAATTTGCCCAGAGAACGGCTTTCCCCCGATCAGCTTTCCTGCGCTCTTTTCGCACGGACGAGATCGGTCGAACAATAGAACGCAACAGGGCGTTGTACATAGGTACTCTGAAAGAATTATCGTCAACGATCAATTTGTTTTCAAATTTAAGCGCACCGTCGGCGACCGCCAGTACAGATGTCACGTGATATTAAGTAGGTACCTACATACAGTCGGCAACAAAAGTATTCGTACACCCTTTAAAATAGAACAACTTTTTTAAAATTGGTCCAAGTGACGTGGGTTTTTTCGTGAAGTTGGGAACATTAGTTTTGCTAGATGATGTGTAAACAAAATTTGGAAAAGTTGCAATTTGTCGGAATCGCAAAGAAAATAGTAAAGATTGCATTTTACAACTTTTTTCTTTAACGTTGCTATGAGATAGAAACGATTAAAAATGTTGAAAATTAGAATTATTCATTCTGTTGATCAACAGATTTCAATGAAAGTTTCGGTATGTACACAACTAATATAAATCTTGGGTATGTATTTATTAAATTTTCATTACAGCCTCAAATTAAAAAGTTGTAAAAAGCGACCATTACTATTTTCTCCGTGATTCCCACCAATTGCAACTTTTCAAATTTTGTTTACACATCATCTAGTAAACTAATGTTCCCAACTTCACAAAAGAACTCAAGTTACTTGGACCAATTTAAAAAAAGTTGTTCTGTTTTAAAGGATGTGCGAATACTTTTACGAGGATCGCCCTAGAAGAGAGGGCTCTTCGTAGCTGCATGTTTCCAGTCTACAACTCGTTTTACTTTCATACCGAACCCAATTGCACCATCGCCCAAAGGGGCTCCAGCTAACTGGATAACTCATAGGCTGCTGAGCGTTCCTTATACTGCACAATATTGTATTTTCTTCGCTTATTTTACATTTCGTTATGTAAATAAGAAAACACGATACTGTAAGTAGAATGAACCGAGTTGGACAGACTTTGATATTTCAGCGAAACTTTATCCTCGAAGCCGTAAAATCTCTCCGAACGCAGAGACTCGCGCGCGGTCGTAGCTCAGAGACTTCAACGATCGCATAAGAACGATTCACGGCGCGTAGCGGCGATGAAATCCCGGTGCGGCTCGAGAATCTCCAGGCGTTCAACTCTCCGACCTAACGTGAAATAGGCTCGATGCACTGATTGCGTCATTGAAACACTCGCGCTCGATTCTATTATC